CATACGTGGTTGATTGGAGATGATATATGGTTTAGTTTTATAAAACATAATTTTATCGTCTTTTCTCTACATGTTATGAATTGTTCAAGTATAAGTGAACTGTCAATTTTTTTATTAGTTTAGGGTCTGTTTGTTTGGACTTTCTAGGAGCTTTTGGACCTTTCAAAAGCCAAAAAGTCCTCGGAAACTAAAAGCCGGAAGTTCACTATAGCGAGTCTTTGGACTTTTGGCTTAGGCCCTGTTTAGTTGCACCCCAAAATACCAAAGTTTTCAAGATTCTTCGTCACATCGAATCTTTGGACGCATGCATGAAGCATTAAATATAAATAAAAAATAAAACTAATTACACAGTTTAGACGAAATCCACGAGACGAATCTTTTAAGCCTAATTAGACTATGATTGAACACTAATTGCCAAATAACAACGAAAATGCTACAATAGCGTTTTGCCAAAAAATTTGGCATCCAAACTGGCCCTTATGTGAGAACAAACAGGGCCTTACACTTTAAGATGAAACCTACCGGTGCATATTGCTTAATACTAACAAATATATGTTCAAATCCGATTGTTGAACTTGTTTTAGAGATAGCAGGGGAGTTGCTACATTTCATTAAGTGGATAACAAGTAGTTTAACCGGTCCTTATTTACAAAATGGATTAGTAACCCGACAAAAAGATATAAGCTTGCTTGTGCCTCTTCTTCAATGTTGTGAAAAGGTTATTCGGTAGAATCCCTTCTACAGTACTGTCGAAGTGTGGCAACCCTCGGAGACCTTTTGCCGTTGACACACGATCCAGAAGCGCCACCTTTTTTTTTTCAATGACCTCCATGAACCTCCAGTGCTCCGTACATGTTTTTTTCTTTCCTTTTTTATTTATTTCTTTGTCTCCCTCCTCGCTTTTTTTTTCTTTTCTTTTTCTGTGATTGGGTCCATAGGCATTCAACGAAGAGTGTCCAGTGTCCACGCAGTTTCAGATTTGCGTTCCTGTTGGCTTTCGTGTTGTCCTTGCCTACCAACGAGACTAGCGAGATTTCAACCCTAATATAGTGTTTTTCTCTCACAACAAAATAGCATCAACCGACTTATCAGCCGAAAAACCATCATCCAAACAGCCCTTATTGAATGTCTGCTGCTGCAACTCGTGTTTCCCTGATATTTATTTCTAGGGACTACTAGGAATAATAAAAGTAAGTTTCTGGGGATGCAAATTCTATAGGGTGTTTGATTTAAAAATTCACTCTATTCTAGATGAGGTGACGCACCATGAATCTATTTCTTAAATTTTGGTGGATGATTCAATTCCCCATATTGGTATTGATTATTAGCTTGTCAAAAATGTGGTGATTGATTATAATTAGTTTGTAAAGAATGAGATGATGAAGTGAGAAGTGAGAAGACGATGAACTAATTTATTCCTCAAACCAAACATCTAGTAGTATATTTCTTGGAACTAGGAAAAGGTTGGCCCTGTTCGTTTATCTTATAATTCATACTTTTCAGCTTATCTTTTCAGCTGGAACAGTATTTTTCTCTCACAACAAATCAGGTAGAACAGTGTTTTAGCGAACGGGGCTAATGTATCAAGTGCAAAGAAGCACCTGCCTCGACCACCATTTAAAATTTTTGACCTTGCAATTGTGTAAATTACTGGAGGCATGAAGTTCATCTTTATCCTACCGACATAATAATCTTGATGGGGACCATTTTGGTTTTTTACTATTGTTTATACTCACTTTAACCAACCATGTTCTAATTAATTATTACTGGCATGTCGCCGTGCCTACTACGGCTCCGGCCTGCACGTTAGCACAAGCCGAAGGTCCCTTTTTTGTGTGTGCACCATTTAACTTCGATGATGATGGGTCCTTAGAAAAAAAATTGATGATGGTAGTATTATATCGATTTCTTTTACATTGACCCTTTTTACTTTTTAGGGAAGTTTCCAAGCCCTAGAGGATAGTTAGCTAGGATTGCATTGGTCAACGAAGCTCCAAGCTTTCGTGCTAGTAAGAGCCCCGGTGACAAACTCACAAGCATATACATCAGGAAAACATGCATTTTATTTGGTTTCGTGCTAAGTCAAATTTCAGTAAATTTAACTACGTTCATGAAAGAAACATATCAGTATCTACAATATCAAATTAGTTTAATTCAACCCATCATTAAATATATTTTATAGTCGTGTTGCTACGTTTTTCTATAAATTTAGTCGAATCTGAAAGACATTTGATTTAGTATACAAACCTAAAACACCTTACGGTTTGTAACACATCAATAAGGAGAGTGTAGAGAGTAATGGCCAACCTAAATGTCCATGGACCCCTGGCCTGTGAATGCAACTTTTACATATATCATTACCAGCCGCGTCAAGATAATTTAACCATCTCCGTTTGGAACCAAGCTCTGACGCACATAAATAGCATTGGAGCCACTCATTTCCACATGGGACTGCTCCAGCTTTTGAGACCAGATTGCTCCTGCAGCCTCCTTATCCTGCCTGCCCCTCCCTTGGGCGACTTTGTCCGAGTCTGGTGAAGGATCGCGCTCCTGGAGCCTCTTGGTTGGATGCAGAATTTTTCCAAAAAGTGCTCGGCCTCAGCGCAACACAACACAACCAATCGCTACGTTCTTCGGAATCTGCCTCTTTTTTAAATTTCTCACTTTCGGCACATACTCTTCTTTCGTCGACAACTATGTGCATGCATCATCCGAGAATATCAGATTCGCTTCGCTCTTGGACGGCAACGTACACGACCTCCCTTCTCGTGTCCTCCTGCGCATCAGGCAAAGCTGCCAATGGTTGCTCAGAGAGACTGAAAATGTAGATAACATTTCCAAATGACTGTTACAGTTACAGACAGGCAGATATATGAGAAGTCATACGCGTGTGCAGGTAGGAGTACAACTTTGGTCTGCTTCAGTATTTTTTTTTTTGAGCAAATGGTCTGGTTCAGTAGAAAGGCCCTGAAGGCGTGAGTTGGCTATGCACCGTGTAATGGGCTCGGCCCAGTAACCTGAGCCGTTGTGAGTATATATGAACGCCAGCAGGAGGTTGTAAACATTTTTAACGACCAACGAGCATGAACCCCGCGGTCTTCCCATTTCCTTCCCGCCTGCTATCTCACCCCAAATGAACATATGTCTAGAATCTTAAAAAAAATCGGACGGTCTGCTCCACGCCCGCTCTAGCACAGCGACCGGCCCAACAGGCCCATGTACGCTCTCTCCTCAATCTACTCCACCTACACTGTGACAGCCGACAGAAATCCCCAACTCCTCGCTTCGCTATTTGTGGCTCACCGCGCCATCCGCCCGCCCCAAGCCGCCCCGCGGCAGCACCCCCATCCTGCATCGAGCCGCGCCATGCTCCATCCCTCACCGCGCCCACTGTACCTTGTTGCATCGTGCCCGGTCCCCGCCCCTACACGTCATGCCCCGTCCCTCGCCACGTCGAGGTGCTGCCGACGCTGCCGTTCCCCACCAGGAGGTCGTGCCCGCTGTTGCCGCCGTGACACTCGAGCTCAGCTTGCAACACCACGAGATTCAGAGTGGCCAGACCTAGAGCGGGCTTCTCCGGCTACACCTCGTGGTCCCTTCCTTCCTCGGATGTTGCAAGCACATGTTGCAAGCATATGTTTCAAGTGTTTCACGTATTTCATATGCATGTTACTAGTGTTTCATGTGGATGTTGCAAAAGTAGAACGAGATGTTGCATATGTTGCAATGGCTATACACCTATGTTGTTCCAAATGTTTCAGCCATTTCAGACCTGTTCCAAATATTTCAGCTGATTCAGACGGATATTGCACGTGTTTTATCTTGGTGTTGCATATGTTTCACACTTATGTTGCAAGTGTTTCATCCGGATGTTGCATATGTTTTCACACATATGTTACATATGTTTTGCAATGGCTACACACGTGTTTTCCTTGTGTTTCAGATATATGTTGCAAGTGTTTCAACTGTTTCAGACGTATGTTGCAAGTGTTTCCCCTAGATGTTGCAAAAGTAGATCTGGTGTTGCACATCTTGCAGTGGAACCCATTAGCTGCTGGACCTGCCTGCATACGCGTGGGTGTATGAAGAGGGCACGAGCGGCAGTCGCGGAAAACCGTGTGTTTACAGATCGAGACTGAAGCGGGCGTGCGCGGGCATCTGGACGCTAGCCTTCCGTCCGGAATTCCAGATCACTAGGGTTACATGCACTCCAAATAAGGTTTTGTTTGTATATTGTGAGATTCACCTCAATCCACGTGTTGGGATGGATTAGGGTGGACCACCCCAATTCACCCCAACACACACATGAATTGAATTGAATCCGACTATATCCAATAAAGGCCTAAATGAATCTGATTTCTTAAAAAAAATGTTCTCTAGGCTCACAGAACACCGAGTGCAACAAGTCGATTTAAAATGTCCGATAAGCCGAAGGATGAAACTTAGGATCCATCGTCCATCTACCCCAACTCAACGGGCACAGTTCGCTTTCTGACGCGAATCCAACTGCCAGTATAGCAAGTGCATATTGTGCTCCCCAGTCCCCAGTAAGTAGACAGCTTCTTCTTTCTGAATTTCGAGCTACTGCATGGATGGAAGTAACTTCAGCTTATATGGATCTAATCACAAGTCTCCTCCTTGGCAGGCAGGAAGTGGAATGCCATACTGGTCCTTCCCAAATTACTTTGCCTGTACCTGTACTGCAAAGAGATTGATGCAAGCAAGGTCTGCTTTAATGTTGGACTGCAAGAGTAGCATCGTGATTCAACTGTTCTGACATACAACACTCCAACCTGTGCAATAGGTCATCGGCGGCCCACTATCAAGCAATGCAACCAAACGAGTATAATCAACACAATGCCTTCTCCTGTACTAACAACATGTCACCAACTTCCCTAAAAAAAACATGTCACCAATTGTGGCACGATACCAGCGTTACAATTTGTGTAGAGCAAACAATACCTATTTGCCATGTCATTCACAAAAAGAATTTCATTCGCTCATCTTTCTTCATGGCATTGTACACCGCTTGGACCTGGAAACAAATTTGTGTTGAACATCATCACATAAATAAAAAGGTCAGAGATGCAATAACAACTTTGATCCATAAGTCTTGGCTCAGTCTGCGAGCTTGTGTTTTATATTCATCACTATTATAATGACAGGATTACCTGCTCCTTGGAAACCACGGATAGGTCCAATTTTGACAGACACATATTTCCCCTTTGCAGACACTTTCTGGGATATTTGACCCTACGCAAATAAAGCCAACAGTTCATAAGAAACAAGATAGTTACAAATGGACAGAGGGACTCTGCAGCATTGAAATGCATAAGAAACTATGGACCTGGGAGCTTACTCAAACCAAACCAAATGTTTTGACAGTGTTATTGACAGTTCTCACATGTGCTAGTGTAAGTTATTACTTTCAAAATAATTATATGAGCGAAAACAATAAGAACCTCGAACCCAAGTAAATGAAACAGAATCATCAATGGCTGCAATTTTACAAATGTAATAGCAAAGACAGAGAAAAGACCAACCTCAGGAATACGTTCTTCAATAACTGATTCAACAGCAACAACCATTGACTGGACAAAATCATCACCTCCTGTACCAATTGCTGTAAACCCTCTAACTGTAGGATAAGTATTTACCTGCAAAACAGAGGCAGCAAGTGTTTTACAATGACGCAACAAGTGAAATCCAAGAACCCTGTTCTTTTCTTATAATTGGTTTCAGAAGCAGTTAAAAAAAAGCAGTAGAAAAATGGATCATGGGTCAGAATCCACATTTCATACCAAATCATGAAATAAGCTACAGAAGGTGTGGTCAGGAAGCATTATTCCACATTATCTTATGCCATGCCATGATAAGTTAGTATCTCAACTCTGAAACAACTTCTGCTATTTGGCAAATTACTGATGATGCTAAGGCCTTAAGCCTTAACACAGTGTGAGTAAATAAAGTGAGAAAGTAGCATACAGAAACAGCGGTTTACAGTTCTAGGATATGACATACAATTAGTGTAATCTGCCTACCAAAAGGGCAGTGTAGCATAGAACTAGGAGTTGATGAAGAAATGTTAGCTTTCTTTTGAAAGGACGGCAAGAGCTTTGCCACAGATTTTATTAGACAAATGAAAGAGAAAACAGAGACAAAACGATAATTACAAAACCATTCCTCCAGAGGGACCACTGACATGAAACAGAATTCAAGCAAAATGGCTTTGTTCCCAAAATTGCCTACTAACGGCTCCTGTTCAGATGTAGAAAGTTCATATGCCTACTTCCAAAGAAAAAACACAAAGAAGTTGAAGAAATAATCCAACCTAGAAGAGAGAGCACCTTTTTATCAAGAACAAGCCATTCATCTGTTGTGTCATCTGTCACAGTACCACCCATGATAACATTTGTTGTTTGTGCAATTCTTCCTTTAGAACTTCTTCTGTTTTGGAGAACTTGCTACTTCTTTTTTGGAATGAATAAGAGTTGCAGGTTATTAAAAAGTTAAACTATTTTATAACCTCTGGAAGGAGTATATAAATTTATGCTTTGGATAAAATATGCAATAAGCCTAAAAGCATGTAACAACACAATAGTAAGCGGGGAAAGGCGCATAGCATGTCACTATGTTAAACATTCGTAACTAATACTGCTTAACAGAAACATGACATGTTCTTCTACATTTAGGAAGCAGGATCTATCTGTAATATAGTGGTTCATAACCAAGGTCCATATGGATTTGTGCATTCAGAACTACAGAAGTACGGAAAGCACAAAAATCATACAGAAATGGCAGTCGAATCCTACAAGAAAGTAAAACAGAGGAATCGATAAAAAATGTTTTTTTTGCGACTTGTTAAAAAATGGTATTGTGTTTGCTTCATAGGAAGGGGTTAGGTGCAAGATCAACTAATGTGCAATATTATTAGCTCAAAACTATATGGATACTTGTATACAGGGCCACATAGGATATATTGCAAAATCACCTATGAACGAATTTGAATAGTAAAAAGTTGTTCTAAGAAGGGGTTAAACCACTCGAAGCATATTTATTAAACTGAAGGTCAAAATCATCAAACTTAACATTTATTAAACTTTTGTAATAATTCAGTGGGTGTAATTGAACAAATAAGACTTTAGAGATAGGGCAACCAGTTTCCAATAGTTCAAAGGCACTAAGAGTTACCGATTTGTCACGAAACGCTATTTTCCAGGTACAAAATTATAACAACTCAGTCATAGGCACCAGCACCAAAAGTAGTGACAAAGCAAAATCAGTGGATTTGGTAGACTGCACAAACAAATTAACTACTCCAAAAAGGCAACACTCAGTAGAATGAGTAGATCATAAATGAGAAAACATCACAAAACGTATGGTAATCTAGTACGACAGCACCAAACTCCCAGTGACGACTGTCGCCACTGATATGCAGTTAAGCTAGAAACGACAATGCACGTCGGCCACTCCTAATTCCAATCCCATCTAATCAACACCTGAACATTCAACTGATCCTCCGGCAACTGTCAAGAATTTCCATCTCAAGGTAGAGGAAACTGGTGCTAAACTGAGCTTTCCATCCCGATTTGGGGCCAAACGGCGTTGAGACTACGAAGCATGAGGGAGAGTACTGCGGATAATCCATCTATTGTCCACAAAAAGGAAAGAAGGAAAAAAAAAGGAGGAAGGAAGGTTCCTCACGAGAAATGGCCTTGAGCACAGCGTCCTGCGGCGCCTCCACCTGGTCGCCCGCGGCGGCGCAGCATCGGATGCGACGGTGGAAGCTAATCCGGGCGCGGGAGTGAGCGGACGCGGGAAGGAGCTGGAGAGCGAGGGCCCGGCAGCACGCCATCGTCCCGGTCTGGTGACTCACCTCGCCGGCAGCCGCGAACACAGAGGGTGGAGAAGATATTTCCTCTCTCTCCGTGACTGCCTCGCCACGTCGACCGCTGCTGTTTTCGTTGACGTGGAGGGCGTGGGGTCGTTCGCCTTGCCGCTTCAGGGCTCGTTCTTGGCTGGAGAGGATTGCACTAGGAACTGTTCCAGCTGATTAAGGCCTCGTTCGTTTATGCAAGGATGAAAACAGGCCCGTTTCTGTTCCTGGGCCGGACAGAGTGAATCCTGGTGGTTCACTGAAACCTGGTCGCCAATGGATCCGGCCCAGGAATCAACAACCTGTTTGGTTGGCTAGTTCATATCGTTGCTGGTTCATTTACGTGAGAGAGAAGTACTGCTGGCTGATTCAGATAAACAATGTTTTTGTGAGGGGGCTGGCCAGCCCAGCCAGCTAGCCAGCCCCAGCCGATCAGGCCGCAAAACTACAACATCGAGGCCCGTTCGTTTCCGTCAGGAATGAAAACTTTAGCAACTTGACGTAAACACTCGTTTGATAGCAAATCAAGGTCACTTGTTTGACAGCAAATTGACAGTAGACATTAACAACTTGTTTGATAGCAACTTGACAGTAAACATTTATCTACAAACATGCATGAAAATCGAGGGACTGAAATGAGGGAGAAGTAGCGGACAAGTAGCAAACAAAATAGAGTATTGATCCATAAGCATCATCCTTTCAGTCTTTCAATCTTGATGAAGACAAAATAGAGTTTGAACTGACAGAAGCATCAATCTCTCATAGAAGTTACAAGAACCCTAGGTTATCTAGTAATGTTGATAAATATGTGGAGACCATAGATCTTAGACCTTCTGTACACTCAAGCCCTGGGTAGACAAAAAGTTCAACGTCAGTTTCACTGGCATGACAATAGTATTTGGATTTATAATGAGGAACAGTGACAAAGATTAGCCCTACCTCCTAACTAAAATTCTATTGGAGAACTGCAATTCCAAAATATAAAATCACAAGATGATTAGCCCTAACTCCGAACCAAAATAGGATTAGCCTGTGTTGATGGTCACTAACACCTATTTTGACCATCAACATTCCACCCAAAACCAAGGTAAAACAACATCACATGTGCCATATTATAACAACAACAACAACAACAAAGCCTTTAAATCCCAAACAAGTTGGGGTAGGCTAGAGTTGAAACCCAGCAGAAGCAATCAAGGTTCAGGCATGTGAATAGCTGTCTTCCAAGCACTCCTATCTAAGGCTAAGTCTTTGGGTATATTCCATCCTTTCAAGTCTCCTTTTATTGCCTCCACCCAAGTCAACTTCGGTCTTCCTCTGCCTCTCTTCACGTTACTATCCTGGCTTAAGATTCCACTACACACCGGTGCCTCTAGAGGTATCCGTTGCACATGTCCAAACCATCTCAACCGGTGTTGGACAAGCTTTTCTTCAATTGGTGCTACTCCTAATCTATCACGTATATCATCGTTCCGAGCTCGATCTCTTCTTGTATGACCGCAAATCCAACGCAACATACGCATTTCCGTGACACTTAGCTGTTGAATATATCGTCTTTTCGTGGGCCAACATTCTGCACCATACAACATAGCAGGTCTAATCACCGTCCTATAAAACTTGCCTTTTAGCTTTTGTGGTACCCTTTTGTCACATAGGACACCAGATGCTTGCCGCCACTTCATCCACCCTGCTTTGATTCTATGGCTAACATCTTCATCAATATCCCCATCTCTCGGTAGCATTGATCCTAAATATCGAAAGGTATCCTTCCTAGGCACTACTTGACCTTCCAAACTAATATCTTCCTCCTCCCGAGTAGCAGTGCCGAAGTCACATCTCATATACTCAGTTTTAGTTCTACTGAGTTTAAAACCTTTAGACTCCAAAGTCTCCCGCCATAACTCCAGTTTCTGATTCACTCCTGTCCGGCTTTCATCAACTAGCACTACATCGTCCTCGAAAAGCATACACTAAGGGATGTCCCCTTGTATGTCCCTTATGACCTCATCCATCACTAAGACAAACAAATAAGGGCTCAAAGCTGATCCTTGATGTAGTCCTATCCTAATCGGGAAGTCATCCGTGTCTCCATCACTTGTTCGAACTCTAGTCACAGCATTGTTGTACATGTCCTTAATGAACCCGACGTACATCGTTGGGACTTTATGTTTGTCCAAAGTCCACCACATAATATTCCTTGGTATTTTATCATAAGCCTTCTCCAAGTCAATAAAAACCATGTGTATGTCCTTCTTCTTCTCCCTATACCACTCCATAACTTGTCTTATTAAGAAAATGGCTTCCATGGTTGACCTTCCGGGCATGAAACCAAATTGGTTCATAGAGACCCGCGTTATTGCTCTCAAGCGATGCTCGATAACTCTCTCCCATAGCTTCATAGTATGGCTCATCAACTTAATGCCCTGGTAATTAGTACAACATTGAATATCCCCTTTATTCTTGTAGATCGGTACCAATATACTTCTCCACTCATCAGGCATCTTGTTCGATCGAAAAATATGGTTGAACAGCTTGGTTAGCCATACTATAGCTATGTCCCTGAGGCATCTCCACACCTCGATTGGGATACCATCCGGTCCTATTGCCTTACCTCCTTTCATTCTTTTCAACGCCTCTCTGACCTCAGATTCTTGGATTCTCCGCACAAAACGCCTATTGGTGTCATCAAAAGAGTCATCCAACTGAAAGGTTGTGTCAATATTCTCACCATTAAACAATTTGTCAAAATACTCTTGCCATCGATGTCGGATCTCATCGTCCTTCACCAAGAGATGCTCCCTTTCATCCTTAATGCACTTAACTTGGTTAAAGTCCCTTGTCTTTCTCTCACGAACCCTAGCCATCCTATAAATGTCCTTCTCTCCTTCCTTCGTACTCAAATGTTGGTAAAGATCCTTGTACGCTCTACCCTTTGCCACACTTACAGCTCGCTTTGCAGTCTTCATTGCCACCTTGTACTTCTCTATGTTGTCCACACTCCTGTCATGGTACAAGCGTCTATAGCATTCTTTCTTCTCCTTAATAGCCCTTTGGACTTCCTCGTTCCACCACCAAGTATCTTTAGCCTCGCCTCCACTTCCTTTGGTTACTCCATACACTTCTGAGGCCACCTTCCGAATGTTGGTTGCCATCTTCTCCCACATGTTGTTTATGTCCTCTTCTTCCTTCCAAGAGCCCTCTTTGATAACCCTTTCCTTGAATACCTCTAACATCTCCCCTTTTAGTTTCCACCACTTTGTTCTTTTAATCTTAGCTTGTTTATCCCTACAGGCACGCACCTGAAAATGAAAGTCTGCCACCAAAAGCTTATGTTGAGAAACAACACACTCCCCTGGTATCACCTTGCAATCCAAGCATGCATGTTTGTCCTTTCTTCTCGTGAGGACAAAGTCAATCTGGCTAAAGTGTTGTCCGCTGCTGAAGGTCACTAGATGAGATTCTCTCTTTCTAAAGAAAGTGTTGGCTATCATCAAGTCAAAAGCTACCGCGAAGTCCAAAACTTCCTCCCCTCCTTATTCCTACTACCATATCCAAAACCTCCATGATCTGCCTCAAAACCTACGCTTGTAGTACCTACATGCCCATTAAGATCTTCTCCTATAAAAAGCTTCTCACTACTAGGTATAGCTCTAACCAAGCCATCTAAGTTTTCCCAGAACTATCTCTTAGCACTCTCGTCGAGGCCTACTTGGGGGGCATACGCACTAATTACGTTCAAGACCAAATCACCAACGACAAGCTTGACTAAGATAATCCTATCTCCTTGTCTTCTCACTCCCACCACACCATTCTTGAGGCTCTTATCAATCAAAACTCCTACTCCATTTCTATTCGCGACTGTCCCTGTGTACCAAAGCTTGAAACCTGTATTGTCCACCTCCTTCGCCTTCTGACCCTTCCATTTAGTCTCTTGAACGCATAATATATTCACACGCCTCCTAGTTGCGGTATCAACTAATTCTCTTAACTTACCTGTAAGTGACCCTACATTCCAACTACCTAGATGGATCCTAGTTGGTTTGACTAGCTTCCTTACCCTTCGCACCCGTCGACTCAGATGTGAAGACCCTTGCTCATTTTTCACTACACCCGGGCGCCGATGTAGCGCGCCACTAAGGAAGCGACGACCCGATCCTTGCTCACTTGACACCATGCCCAGATCACGACACGGCACGTCACGGGGGTGACGACCCAGCCCTTGCCCATTTAACACCATACCCGGGTTCCGATATGGCGCGTCGCTAAGAGGGTTACGCCCCAACGATTTTCTTTCGGGTTTCATCTCCATTAAAGTAGCTAAGTTTTTACATTGGCTCGCCACGCCGAACACAACCCTCCTCCTTTACCAGGGCTTAGGACCTGCTATGCTGGGACACCAAAGGCGCCCCACCATAGGCGGAGTTAATACATGTGCCATATTATGTTTATAATTCACCTAGTTTCACTTGTACATGGAAAAAATATTTGTATGCAGGAAAAATCACAAAAATGGACAAAAGGCGTGCATAGAAGACAAGTGGACATGGCAGGGGGCCGCTGAAAGCTCTAGTTTGGTTTTAGTAAATTGATAAAACCTTAAGTGTTAACCTAGTTTATCAAAGTGATTATGAGATAGGTGGCACATTCCAAGTGGTGAAGCAAATGAAGATCATGATATGATGGTGATGGTGATGGCATGATGATGATCATATGCTTGGACTTGGAAAAGAAGAAAGAAAAACAAAAAGCTCAAGGCAAAGGTGAAATTGATAGGAGCTTTTTGGTTTAGTGATCGAGACACTTAGAGAGTGTGATCACATTTAGGATCGATAGCCGTACTATTAAGAGGGGTGAAACTCGTATCAAAATACGGTTATCAAAGTGCCACTAGATGCTCTAACTCAATGCATATGCATTTAGGATCTAGTGGAGTGCTAACACCCTTGAAAATGTTTTGTGAAAATATGCTAACATACATG